TGTAATTATCAGACACCTTTATGCCATGCACTGTGCTTGGAACTTAGTGGTCCCTGCTTTCATGAGGTCTGTAATCCAATAGATGAGATGCACAAGCAAATCAAAGGTAAAATAGTTGTGGTCAGAGTTATATGGAGGGTTCTGTGGGCAGTTCAGTGAAACAAGGGAAGAACTGGCTGAGGTTATGTCACTGAACTGACTTAGAAGGACAAGTAGGAATTGGCTCAGGGGGAGAGGTGTGATCTAGACCCAGAATGAATACATTGATCAGATAATGAGTCAGTCTGTGGTTACCCTGTGTGATTGGGATGAGCATAAAAGGGAGATCTGCTTAGAGCTTTCTGTCCCTGGGCAATCACCATCAGTGTTATATAAAACATTGTTACACAAAGATTTCAAAATCTGCAAATGATCTGACAAACCTCATAGTATTCTCTCAGGTAAGTGCCGAAAATGTCAGTTTTGTAATAAAATAAAAGCTGATTTCATTTTTTTAATCTCTATTAGAGCCAGTAGAAGTGATTTATTGATTTTTAAAGAAAAATATATCTTTAAATGTCACTTTTTTTTTGCATGCAACTTGTTAATGGATGTGGAGTTCTCATATACCCCAAACGTGCTTCTAGTTATTAAATGTTAACAGTTTTGAGGAAAATCAATAGAATAATCAGAAAACTCATGAAAAGATGAATAAAGAACAAAACAATTCCATACCTTGCAGTAATTGTTATTTTTCTTCAAATATTCAAAGTTTGCAACTTGTTACTTGTCGCTTGGCTCCACACGTACATTAATGATTTTGTCTTGTTTTGTTTTGAATGCCATAGATGTTGAAGCTAACACACATAAATGAAGGACACACTCTGAGCGCCGCTCAGGTAGTACAGAATTGCAAAGCCAGGGGTGCCCGTGTGAACTCCTGCTCGCTTTCCGTAAAGCCTCCTGTGCTCGTCCGTGTGTTCATGCACACACTCTGGCTGGAAGTCTGGCTGGAGTGGAATGCCTGGGGGAAGTTTGTTCCTCCCACCAAACTTTATTCCATCAGACAAGAAGATGTGTGCAGCTTGCCTTTCCCTTTTTGACTTGGTTATCAGGAAGCTCCTCGGCATAACTCCTGATCCAGGTGCCCTTTACATTTCATCTGCCGCCTCTTTGTTCCATTAGATTATTTGAAAGAAAAACTGTAGAGCCTCTTTGATTTAAATTGAAGCTGCATAAAATTCTCTGCGGAAGTAGAGTGGTTAAAAATAATGCTAAGATTAATGAACCATGGTTTATCACAGGCATGCAAAAGCGGTCGATCATGAGCACCAGATTTCCATGTCCTCGTTGTAGAAGGAAAGTTGTCAAGGTGGTTACATCCATGACTTCTCCTAGTGTAGTGGAGGGTCCCTCCCTACTCCTTCCTACCTGGGATCTTCTCACTGGACAGAGCAGATAAGCAGTTCAGAGGGATTTGTGTGTAGTGATTTTACAAATTATTATTATTGTTACAAAAATGTTATTATTAAATTATAGTCCATGTTAATATTATGTAACATTATATATATATGATTATTTATGTAATAATCCACAATTAGTAAATCATTGCCAAGTATTATGACACCTGCCACCAGTTTGGGTTATAGAAGCAAAGAAACTGTACCACAACTTGAATACCTGAGAATCATCCTTTTTCCTCTGTCTGTGCTGAGCTTCCCCTAGTGGCTGGAGCTCATTACTAGTAACTGATTAAGAAAAACCTAAGGCTGTTGGGAGTCACTGACTCTAAGCAGGGGAAATGTTTCAATAAAGCAAGGTTATACATGTTAAATACACTGGCTTAGCCGATCGAAAACTTGTGTTCTAGCTCCCTAAAAGTTGCTATTTAAAAATAAATAAATATAAAATATTCCTAATGAAGTGTCTAGGGCCACACAGGGTAAAGGGAATTTTAGATGCATCTAACAAAGCAGTGCCATGAGGAGGATCCGGTCTAGAGCCACTTTGGCACTGTCTAGTTTCATAGTTTCTCTGGGCCTTAGTTTCTTCATCAGAAGAGGAGGGGCCGAACCTAGAGATTTTCAATGAGTCTCACAGTTGAAAGAGAAATTTAACTAAATTGAGATCTAATGGTATCCTCCAGGCACGTAGTGATGTGTGATGCGCGTTGTCTTATTTTAGCATAGAGACCTTGAAACATGAGTGTTGTCTTTCCACTGCCAACTAATCTTGGGTTTGGACACTTAGTGGGGGCTCAGTGAAAGGTCCTTTGTTTATGATGGCGCCTCTTTTGACCCACTGTCAGCTAGATGTGCTCTTTGAGAAATGAGGCTAGATCTAAGTGGGCTCATGAACGCTTCCCCCATCCCACCTGCTGATGATTTGTGGAATACACCACTCACTAGGAGTGTGTGTTTGCAGTGTGTAAGCGCTGTGCGGGGTCACTGTAGCCCGGTGGTTAGGCACGGAGGCTCTGCCATGGGAGGCGTTTTGTTCCCATTCTGGAACTACTGTTTATTTGCTCTGTGCCCTTGAACAAGTTACTTAACCTCTGTGCCTGAGCCTTTTCAAAGGTCAAATGAGCAAATAGTTGACCCTACCTGGCGTAGTTAAAAGTGTGGAGCACTTAGAACACATGTCCGATACATAGTAACAGCCCCATACTGGACGGCTATTCTTGCTGTATTCAGGCTGCATCCAATCATAACCCGTTGTGATCATCTGAAAGGAGAAATTGAGGGGAAGCCTGGGGGGGGCCCCCCGAATACCTCCTTGTGAGCAGAAAGTTGTTGTTTCAGCCATTCCTCAGAGATTGATATTTATACTGCTCTTATAGCTCTTTAGGGAATAAAATTACCTCTCGCTTTCACTAGCCTGATTCAATGTCTGACAACTTCTCTCACTCGGGAACTTATTCTTTCTGTGTGGCTTAATTGCCTATTGTTGCAGTTTCAATTTGGGGTGAGGGAAAGAAGGGTGGGTCTGACTCTGAGATAAAGGGCCTGCCGAAAAACTAGCAGTTTGGACTCAAACAGGGGCTCTCAGCACGCTGGTGCGGGGCTCGGGCTTAGGGGCTCGCCTGCGACACTTGGTGGGGGGGCAGTCTGCAGGCTGCAGGGAGGGACGGTGGGCTGCAGGGAGGCGACCGTCGGCCATGACCTGGGATACTTACCCCTGCGCCCCCACCCCCACTGCAGCTGGGGCAGCTTCATATTTATGCTGTCTACTTGCATGAGAGATTTCACCAGGAGAAACTCTTCCACAGATAAAGGAAAAATCTGAAAAACCTAGAGGCCAGTGTATGTCCCTGAAAAGCCACCTGACATGACCTGTCACTTGGTAACTGACTCTGTTGCTTCTTGTCTCAGCTGCTCTGTGCCTGTTTGAAAGTGGCAACATTCTGTGTGTGTGTGTGTGTGCACGCGCGTGTGCGCACAGTGCTTTGTTCATGGTGCTGGCAGGGGAGGGAAGGTAAATGGGAAGATTTATCGGGAGAAGAACTTTATAAATTCAAGATATAATTCTCACAAGACTGCGGAAAGCCCGGGGTGCCTGGGTGGCTCAGATGGTTAAGCGTCTGCCTTCGGCTCAGGTCACAATCCCAGGGTCCTGGGATCGAGTCCCGCATCGGGCTCCCTGCTCAGTAGGGAGCCTGCCTCTCTCTCTCTCTCTCTGTCTCTTATGAATAAGTAAATAAAATCTTTAAAAAAAAAAAAAGACTGCGGAAAGCCCTTGTTCATGTGTTTGAGGGGATAATTTTGACCCAGCCTTGTGTGGGTGGGCCCCTGGGAATTAATAGGGGGTTTTCATCTCTAGCTTATTGGATGGGGTGGCAGTGACTGAAGCCCAAGTCGAGAGCAGAACGATTTGGCACAGCCCCACCTAATGAAATAGGTTCGGAGGGATATTGACCAAAATAAGGGGAGTGAATACAGATCGTGCACTGGAAGGTTTATGCCCGCTGAGTACTGGGGAGCAACGGGTGTGTAAGGCTTTCCCCCCAAACGCCCCCCCCGAATGTCAAGGTGAGGTGCTCAGTGTCACCAAGCATGGCATCCTGGCCTCTGCTAGACAACCGAGTGGAGTCCTGGTGTTTAGGGAGTGGCCTCAGAGGTTGGCCTGGGAGCATGAGAAGGTTCACAAGGAACCTCCTTTGCCAGCCTGACTCCAGGACATGGGTCGCAATCCCTCCCTCGAGCAAGAATGGGAGATCGATCACTCAGGACTTCGTGAGTGGGAGTAAGCTGTCCCCGAAAGCTGTAGTGATCCAAAAAAGTCATGTTCAAATGATGAGCGTCCACCACACACTTGCTTGTAAATCCCTAATGGACGCAAACTTCTCTTTGGATTTGTCGATGGTCTTCCCCTACTCCGACGGAGACATTTAAGGTCAGGCTGAGGCCATCCCTGATTCCATGTGACACACTCTGTTAGGCACCGTGCACCGTTCCCTAACATAGTCCTTAGCACCGCCTTCCCAGACCAAGTGGCACCTTCTCCATTATATAGAGAAGGACTTTGAGGTTCCAAATTTGGGGGACTCACTGATCATTGATGTAGCCAGAGTTAGAATCTATATACATGGCTGATTTTTAAGATGTGAGACAGGAAGAAACTAGATGCGATTCTGCTGCTAAAAATTGGCTGGAAACCAGCTTTCTGCATAACAGATTTGCCTTAACAAACTAACCCTCTCCCCTGTTTCTACAACTGAAGTCATATACACCGCACACACACACAGACTTCTCTTTCACAATGTTTGCTAAGCCAGAAGCAACTGTGGATCACTTAAATGAGGCCCTGGTCATCCCAGGTCCATTTTTCTCCATTTTCCTTCAACACCCGTCACCACAGACTGTCCCTTTGCTGCTGAGTGATGCTTGCTCTAAGTGCTTACCGCACCTGAATGAATGAATTAATGAGTGCGTGATGGATGGGGGGGCGGGGGAGGGGCGATGCCTCTTTGTGGGACGAACTCACCCATCTTCCGACGTCTGTCTGCTGTCCTCTCCTCCCAGGGTGGCATGATTGCTCTGCTGCTGTCCATCTTGTGCCTGGTGATGATCCTATACACTCGCCGGCGCTGGTGCAAGCGCCGCAGGGTGCCCCAGCCCCAGAAGAGTGCCAGTGCCGAGGCGGCCAACGAGATTCACTACATTCCCTCTGTGCTGATCGGCGGGCACGGACGGGAGAGTCTGCGCAATGCCCGCGTGCAGGGCCACAACTCCAGTGGCACCCTGAGCATCCGGGAGACCCCCATCCTGGACGGCTATGAGTACGACATCACGGACCTGCGCCACCACCTGCAGAGGGAGTGCATGAACGGAGGGGAGGACTTCGCCAGCCAGGTCACCCGCACCCTGGACTCCCTGCAGGGCTGCAACGAGAAGGCGGGGATGGACCTCACCCCAGGTGGGCAAGTCGCTCCTCCCCTTGGGGACCTAGGGAGTGAGTAGGGAACAGCTTTTCTAGTCTTGGGGCCGGTTGTCATGCATAATGGCATGTACCTGTGCCCTTTCCCGGGTGGGCCAGAAGGGTACACGCTTTCCTGAGACAACAGGAGCTGTTTTCTAATGCGGGAAATCAGAAGAACAAGTATACACTGAATTCTTCTCCACTTTACCTTTGCGCTGGAAGCAGAGACACCTTTACACCTAACAGAAGAGTGGGTTAGATAGAGCCTTTTTCTTATATAATAGAGCAGTCCCCAGGGAAATAAGAAGCTAGCAAGAAAGATCAGCGCGTGTGTACGTCATTTTTGCGTGTCCCATGTTTGCTTAGGTGATCTAAGTATCCACTGAAGTGGGAGGACAGAGGTGTCTGTTCTTTTCTATGACTCTGGAGACCTTGGTCTGGGGAGGGAGTGGTTGGTTGTGTTGTTTTGCCCATGCCTCTGTGGTCTTTACAAGGGTCGTACTTCTTCAAAGAAGATTAGGAATGCAGTCAAGCTGTCCGACCTTAGATGCCTTGTGTTTCTATGGAGATGCTGGGTGGAAAAGACTTGGACCTGATCGGGCTGAACGAAATCAGGGTCAACAAAATGCAGAGAGGAAATGACTGTACTTTTCTTTTATAGCAGCCCTCCTGTCTCTCTCTGAGACTTCCGTAAATAAGCAACTCCTCATAAAACCCCAAGATAGTGATCCCTCAAAAAACTGCTCAATTCTCTTTAAAGAAGACATTTTTCATACTGAATATCGCTTAAGATATATAGACTTTCAGTGGGGCTTTTTTTTTTGATGATTTTATTTATTTATTTCACAGAGAGAGACAGCGAGAGCAGGAACACAAGCGGGGACAGTGGGAGAGGGAGAAGCAGGCTTCCCGCCGAGCAGAGAGCCCGATGCGGGGCTCGATCCCAGGACCCCGGGATCATGACCTGAGCCAAAGGCAGACGCTTAGCGACTGAGCCACCCAGGCATCCCTCAGTGGGGCTTGAAAAGAGGGAAATCACATCATAGACGTCTCCAATTTGGGGCGCCCAAGTGGCCCAGTCGTTGAGCATCTGAGTCTTGGTTTCGACTCAGGTCATGATTTCATGGGTCATGAGATCGACTAGGATGGAAGAGGGAGAGGACATGTTCTGCCTGAATGCACTCAAATTCAGCTTCTTCTAAAACTCTGTGCCGCCCCAGAGAAAGGAATCTGTTGTCTGTCTCTAGCCCGCAGGCCACATGTGGTGACCCTAATCAATACAGAATCGGTTGACTTGGCTTTTGAGTTGTCATCTCTCTCCTCTCCTCCCTCAATTTTGTAGCCCTGCAGAAATCAGAGGAGTATTTAGTCTCTGCCAATCTCTCACTTTAAAGGTTCCTTATTTCAATTCTGTGAAACTCCATTTACGTGGTTCAAGCAGCTTTCCTTGCTCGCACTTTCTTTTGGCCTTTTCTCTGAAAGAATTTGCCTTGACTTTTCCTTCTGCAGGAAGCGACAATGCCAAGCTATCGCTGATGAACAAGTACAAGGATAACATCATTGCCACCAGCCCCGTGGACTCCAACCACCAGCAGGCCACTCTGCTCTCGCATACCTCCAGCAGCCAGAGAAAGCGGATCAACAACAAGGCAAGAGGTATCTGTGTCTGATGGGAGGGCTTGCAGGTGGCGGTTTCCTTAATATCGGTAGAGGCAGGACCATTCATATCCTGGACCCCTGACTCTCAGGCATGGCTAGAGGGTGTGTGTTCGAGCCCAGGCTTTCTGGAAGCCTGTTGAGTGTTACTTAGCCAAAAAACTTAAATGTACAAACCTTTTGACCAAGTAATTTCATAAACAAGAATTAATCCTTAGGAAATAATTGGACAAGTGCGCAAAGCCATGTGTAAAAGGCTGTTCATCACAACATTGTTTAAAAGAGCAAAAAAATGGAAATAGCCTAAGCGTCCATCAATAGGGAATCAGTTAACTACCTGCACATCTGTCTATCATCCAGTGTCTTATCATGCGGCCATTTAGGATGATAAGATAGATCCATATTTTTTCATATGGGAAGTTGCCCACCCATTTATTAAGTGGAAAAAAAAAACGAGCAAAACGCCATTCATAAGGGGAGATTAAAAAACCTTTATCTATTTCTGTATCAGAAAAAGACAGCATATATGTCAAATGTGAACAGAGTTTTTCTCTGATTGACAGGATTTAGAGGACATCGGGGTTGTTCTCTTTGCACATTTCTCTGCATTCTCTTTATTATTATTTTCCTCTTTTTCCCATTGAATGCATATTAATTCCAGGACCAGAGAAAAGCTTTCGAGGAGGGAAATTTCCCTTCCGTCCCTTTCCACCCACCATCCATGAAGGCCCTCTCTGGCGGGGGGGCGGCTCGGGCGGGAGGGGGGAGCCTGGGCTGGCTGGGGGTGGGCTCCAGTGACCGCTGTCATGAAAAGGTCCACTTCTCCAATAAATCTGGGTATCAGGAAGCTCCAGCGTCCGTGGCTACTCCTCCCAAATTGTCAGTCAGCCTGCTCTTGTTTTTATCGATTTTTCTCTTGAACTTGCCCGGTGATTTGGTGTCATGAAGAAAAAACTGAAGATGTCGACTGTGCTGTGCTTCTTTTCATTATAGCTGGTTCCGCCTTCCTGAACCCTGAAGGAGATTCTGGCCCCGAGACGGAAAACGACCCCCAGCTGACCTTCTACACCGACCCCTCACGGAGCCGGAGGCGCAGCAGAGGTGGGAAGGTTGGAGGGGTCACAGCGGGTGGCGGGGCTCCGGGCAGGGGGAGGCGAGGAGCGGCACAGGTGCTGGGTCGGGCTGGGGGCTGTGTGGACCAAAGCCACTTTCTGCAGGAAGCGTCCCTGGACCACAGCTGGTGTTTCCTCCTAAGGAAGAAAGAAGAGCCTAGAGTGGAAAATTTCCGAGAATCATCTCTCCCAGATAATGGCGCTCTCAAACAAGTGTTCAAGTTGTTTGAAAGGCTATTTCTTGGTCAGAAGACTCTCAATTCCTTCTGGAAGCCTCAAGAGTCATATTTTGCTGTTTAGACACAGGAAATAAAGTTGATAAAGTGTGTTGTGTGTGAAAATGTGGATGGTATATGTACTCTTGCTTGCACAGCCACGCCGGCCTTGGGATTGGGTGAGGTAGGGGTGGTGGGGGGGGCGGTGTCGCTGAGGAATGATCTGTCGCCTGCGATTCAATCTGTGTGTAACGGTATTACACCTCCCATCCCCTTCCCGGCGGCATCACGGAACCCCCAAGCCTCCAAGTCCCCTCCATTCTCCCGGCAGGGTCCCGGTGAGTTCACGCACTCTCCTCAGTACTGCTAGAGCTGTCCTTCCGCGCAGACGCTCCCTGGGCCACTGCCCCTGATATTCAGGTGTGGTGGTGGCAGATGAGGTGCCACTGCCCATGACCTTGCTGGTAGCACTCTTGTCACTGAGGGAGGTCTGGGTTCAGTAGGCTTCACCGTTTACTTGCTGTGTGATATTGGAGGAGAACAACAGCTTCTCTGAGCCTGTTTCCTCATATAGGAAGTGTGTTATCAATACCTCACACACACGCTCCTGAAAGCATTAAATTATATTAAAATGTGCTTTTAGGGTGACTGGCAGAGTGCTATGCAGTCCCCATTGTCGTTGCTCCCAGACCTCTCTGCAGTGTGGCCTCAGGTTTGTGCAGCACTCCATCCTAAGGAATTTCGGACAGGGACCTGTTGAGATACAGTGGAGGATGTTTGAGTGGCCTCCCCCTGTGTTATACCCAATGGCATTTTTCCCCAACCAATAATCAACCAATGCCCCGCAAAAGACATTTATATTTTGGCTCTCTCCTACCTCTACTTGAGTTCCTTCCACACTGAGGGCATTCTGCCCAGAGATTGGAAGCAAACCTTCTAATTCCCCAGGTCCAGTTTCTCTAAGCTTTGCTACTATCGGGAAAAAATTCCTTCCCAGCATTTTTCTCAAGAGATCAGTGGGGCTCTGGGCAGCCTAACGTCTGATGCCCCAGTATCCTTGAGGTGAGAATGTGGATCCCTTGATCCTCTTTACATATTTATATACAGCTGATAGTCAACCTCGGCCCGTTCAACCCTGAGCAGGGTGCGTTCTGCTGTAATAAAATCCTGTTTAAGAAAATCCATAGTAATGAATTAGAATGAGTTTCTTTGCTGCATAAAACTGTTTCTTTAAAATATCAAGCTCTCCTAGTACATTAAATGTTTATTGCTATTAACTAGACTGTAAGCTTCTTAGGGATGGGCATGTGTAATTTATTTTTCCAAAGTGCCCAGTGAAGGATTTTGCCTATAATAGATGCTTGTAAGTGTTTGTTGAATTGAACTGAATACATCAATCAGGCCAGCAAGAAATTTTATAACTCACCTGCCATAGGTCAGGCTTTGTGATGTGAGGTAGAATCATGAAAACATGGCACAGTGATAAGGCTTAATTTAATATTATAAATAAAGTAAAATGAATACTCAGAGGACAGAACAGGTCATTCTACCTGGCAGCAATAGGAGACAAAGAAGGAGAAAATAATTAGAACCTGGGTTATATACAATGTGTAGAATTTCTTGAAAAAGGAAGATCTAGGGTAAGGACATCCTGGTAAGGAAAATAGCATATAGAAAGCCTGGAAGGCACAAAAGAACATGGTATTTTTAAGCAAGTGAAAGTAGTTCTGTATAGCAGGTGTAAGAACGTAGGCCATGGGGTAGTAGGGACGGGCCTGGAAACAGGCCAGCTCCCCGAGGACTATACCTGCATCATGAGTTTGCACTTTGTTCCATAGGTCACAGGGAACCACTGGACATTTTGAAGCCAGGTAGAAATGTTGGATGATGGCTGGATGATACAGAAGGACCAGGGAGGTAGGAAGATGAGTAGCAAGTTATTACAATCACATGAGACCAGGAGCAAGTACCCGGAAACAGTGACAACACCGTATGATAAAAGCTTTAACAGCAGGGTGCACCCAGGGCTAGAGGAACAGCAAGGGATGAGTGAGAATCTGCTCTTAAAGGTTTCAGGGAGGTGTTTACAAGGAGATGCTGTTGGAGCTGAGGCTTGAAGAGTAGGTGTGTACCGGGCTGACAAGGTGACAAAATGGCATTCTGCAGAGGAGGAAATGATATGTGCAAAGTCACAGAGACATAAACGATAATGGTCTAGTCAGAGAGTGGGAAAGAGTTTACTAGAATGAAGCGTATGGTGCAGGTTGGCAGTTTGCTTAGGAAATAAGGCTGGACGATCAGGAGACAGCACGCGCCTTGACCGGAGGACTCGGACCTAACGCTTCAGTTGGCGCCACTGGAGGCTTTTCAAGAGCATCGCCCTGGTCCGCTCTGCTTTGTGAAGGGTGCCTGTGAGCCCCTGCGGAGGGTAGGCGATGATGGGGGAGGTTGAGGCAGGGAGACTGGGCACATGGCTCTTGCTGCAATCCAGGTGCACGATGCCGGGCGCGGGTCGGGATGGAGAGAATGAAGGCAAGAGAAACTTTGGACACAAGATGGAATCAGATTTAATGGCATCGGAAGGGGGGAGGGTCATGGCTTATGTAACGGAGGGCAGGGTCAGACAAGGTGGAGTTTTCCGACTGGAGAAACCAAGTAGCTCAGGGTGCCATTCTCCGGGTGGTGGAAATTGGAGGAAGCAGGAGAGTCCAGTTTCACATTCGAGTGCCTGGGAGATGTGCTGGATGGTGGGAGATGTGCTGGATGGTGGCAGATCTGTTGCTGCTCAGGCCTGGTTTGGGCTGGGGATAGAGATTTGTAAGTGTGGGAAAATAGACCCCTTGGTGAAAGGATCCTAAGGTGAAAAGAATATTTCTAGGTAGCAAGGGACAGAGGATCCAGAGGCTGCCTGCCACCCTGCAGTTTCTCATCCCAGCTCCTGCCAGCACACCACTCAGGGCACCTGACGCCATAACGGGTGGGTGCAGCCCATGGACCCAAATCTTCCCTGCAGTCCCGAGAAGAGCCATTCCAAAGACTCCCCTGGGCCCAAAGATTGAGCAGTGCCCTGTCTGGGGGCTGCCGCCTCAGCTGGACCCCTGCCTCGATCCCGGCTCCTTAGTAGCAGCTTGACCCTGTACGTGCCCTGTCGCCTCTCTGATTGTCCCTCGTGGGAGCTGTCTCATCAGACCGTGGTCATTGTTAAGTGACATGAGCCACGTAAAGCCTGCACACTGGCACCTGACACATAATTACGCTTCGTAAATTTTAACTGTCACTATGAGGTTGATCTCTTTGAGACTTATTTTCCTTACTTGTGAAGTGGGTAGTTATTGTCCAGACTCCTAGATTTATTCTAAGGAAGCAAATAATAAAAATAAAATAATATGCAAAGCACTTCACCCAATGTCTGACATAATAGTTGCCTTTTATTTCTATCAGTCATAAATGCCAACACAGACCAGACCATAAGAAAATGACAAAGGACACATTTTGTTGGCCACTAGCCTTGCTTTCTTACTTTCCCACATCTGTTCTGCCTCCATGTGAAATGTCCCTCTTATTACTACCATTTTATCCTCTGCACAAAAACCTTCCTTCCTATTCCTGTCCGCACCTGCCTGCAACTGTCTCCTCAGCATCCTTATTTGCTCGCTAAGCTGCCATTTATAATCTCTGACTGCAGGACTGGCGGGGCCCTTCAGGCATGACATCCTCTACACATACAGAGCAGACTTTCCTCCTTCCCACTCCTATAGACAAAGAGTCACCTGTAGGACTCCCACCCACAGAGCTTGGAAAGTTCCTCAAGAGGCAGTTGGAGAAGTAGTTTGAGCCATGGGAGGAAGGAGCTGGTTTGTGAGAGCGCCCTCTGTGCAAGAAGCAGGGAGAAGCGCAGAGAGTTCTAGCACGTGGTGAAAGCATCCTTGCCACCCTTGGGCAAGAGGTTGGAGCTCAGCCAGGCGAGCAGCGGGGGAGAATGCCCTCCTTTATGATTTCTTTGTGAACCTGTCCCAGGAAGAGTGCAGTGAACTTGCACACAACTGACTGTTGTTGACCCCAAGGGCCACCGGTAGGCTAAGCCCCTCTGACTCTAGCAGCCGACATGGTGTTCCATGAGGATGAAGCTCACTGGGGTTATGAGCCAGAACATTCCCTGCCTGGGCTAGGTTTGCCCACCGCCTCCCCTGTTTGCTTGTTTGGGCAGCAGAGCCAGATTGGCCTCCCACTGCCAAGACTCTTACCGCAATGTGTCTTGCTTGTATCTTGCTTCCAGTGGGCTCTCCCCGAAGTCCTGTGAATAAGACCACCTTGACGCTGATCAGCATCACCAGCTGTGTGATTGGCCTCGTGTGCTCCTCCCATGTCAGCTGCCCCCTCGTTGTCAAAATCACCCTGCACGTCCCCGAACACCTGATCGCCGATGGTAAGCTTGCTTGAGAGGATGCGGCTTCCTCCCCAAAGGAGAAGTTTTCATGTTGGGCCAGGAAGATAGAGAAGCCAGGGGTCACTGTTACTTTTTACTCTAAGTGAGGGAAAAATAAACCCAGATAAGTAAGGCTTAGGGCAAATTTGGATTGCCCACAGATGAAATCAGAAAGCAGGTTAAAAAAAAAAAAAACCGTAAAATTGAACAGATTACCTCCTCTTCTCTATGCCCACTCCAATTTCTCATTTCTGCTTGCTTTAAAATAAGTCCCTGTCTTTGTAGAGAAGTACAGAGCATGGTGGATACAGGTAGATAGACACCGAGAGATTCTCTGGCTTTGGGGAAGGGAGAAGCTAAGTGGAGCTGTGGAGATGATTAAGAATCAGCCATGCTTCGGTTTGGTATGCCCGGGTAAGAAATTCCTGATTGCAGTAACTTGCTAAAAGCCTAGAACTCTGAAGCAATAATTTCCTTTCGTTCAGGGGGACCCCAGTGTAATTAGGGAGTAGTACGGGTTCAGGAGGCCCTGAATTCGTGAAGCCCAGAGTACCTAATTGACTTGTTAATGTCTCTTCTCTCTGCTGCTGGAAGGCTGAAAACAGGTGGGGACTGTCCGCGCTATTAGAGGGCCTGCTATTTCATGGCAAGTGGAGACCAGGCAGCAGGTCCCCGCTCCTTGGGTGAATGCCAGTGCCTGTGGCTGGGTCTGATGGAGCCATGCCGTGGCCATCACAGAGCTGCTCTTTCCCAGTATTCCCTAGGTCCACCCTAATAGAGATGGGATCGAGCAAAGCAGCAGGGGATGATGGAGCAAGGGCAGCAGGAGGTCCAAGTGGTGGCCGAGGCTCCATCTGCTGATCCCTTCCTTGGGGGCTCATGACAGGCTAGGGCTGGTAGGAGTCATGACCTCGGATTGGGCTAATCTGTGGAGCATCCTTTACTCTGTCTTGACTGATGCGCGCACGTGTGCGTGTGTGTATGTGTGTTGTTGTGTGCACCCACTGGCATGCCTCCTCTCTCTCTCCTGCAGGGAGCCGCTTCATCCTGCTGGAGGGGAGCCAGCTGGATGCCAGTGACTGGTTGAACCCAGCTCAAGTGGTGCTCTTCTCTCAACAGAACTCCAGTGGGCCCTGGGCCATGGACCTCTGTGCCCGGCGGCTCCTGGACCCCTGTGAACACCAATGTGACCCCGAAACTGGTAGGCAGGAGCACCGGGCAGCGGGTAACTGTCAGAGTTCATGCCTCTTGCAATCACCCCCCTGGAAATCCAGACGTAGTCTCCCGATGTTTCCATTGCCTTCGGGGGCCTAGGCTGTGCACGCTGCCAGTGTGTGGTTGGGACCCTGAGCGTGTTGGCTTAAAATGTGTTGTCTTCTGGCAGAAGCCTTGGAAATATCCCATCTGTAGCGCCTACTCTGTACCCCAGACAGGCCAGTTTAAGATGACCTGCACCACCCATTTACCATCCCGTCAGTGGATGTCAGCTGCTGGGGCTCGAATTTTTATGCATGTGTATTGTAGAAAATTTGAAAATTTAGAAAAGCTTATAGACAAAAATGATAATCATCTATAATTCTATCTCCTGAAGAAATCATTTTAAAATTGTAACGTCCTCCCTTCCGATCTTTTATCTGTGTATGAGTTTTAGAGACTTACAAGCACACTAAGTCCACTAGCGTTTTCTTGATTTTTTCACTTCACATTCTATCATGAAGTTTTTCCAGAACCATTAAATAATCCTCAATAACATAATTTTAATGGCTATTTGGTATTCCATTGTACGTCCATATCATAGCTCATTTAAATAGTTCCCTATTATTTGACATTTCGGATGCTTTAAATTTTTAATTTTTACAAATACTACCAAAATGAATATCTTTCCACATAAATGCAGGGCACATCTGAAGTTATTTTCTTCAGATAAATCCTAGGAGAGAGATGACTGGGGCCAAGGGGAGAGACATCTCTGAGGCTGTCATGTTATCGGATGGGGCTGGGGCTTCCCTGAGAGGGTCCACATGCGGACACGGCACGCACGAGGGCACTCCCAGAGCTTCATGAGCTCCGCGATCCTGAGGAGTGTGGACCCCTCCTTCCAAGTGGCTGTGCACTTTCCTTGTAGAAGGTGTTCATCTACAACAGTCTTCATAAAGACCTGGTTCCAGTAGATTCAGTACCACAAATAGATCCTTCCCAGAGAAGTGTGATGCCCTAGAACAAAGGAAGCCATGTAATGATAGCTAAGACCCCCAAGGAAAATGTTGGGAGTTGGGGACCAATTCCTCCAACTCTCTGTACCTCATGTACAGCCCCTTCTTCTCCACCACACACACACACACAGCCCCTTCTTCTCCACCACACACACACACACACACACACACACATATATACATGTACATGCACAAACGTACCCATATACCCATACAAACATATGCACGCACATGCACACACATGCACACACACACCCCTACAGATGCATTTCTTTCAGGTGGTGGGGTGGAGGGCTATTAGTAGAGATTGAGTTCAAGAGATAGAGCCCTACTTCTGTTACAGTGCATTGCTGTATGTCTTTGGGAGGGTAACAGGTGGCAGCAACATCCAGTGTTCACCTTCTTAGGTGTTGTTCTAAGAGTTGTTTTCACCTGGGCCCATCGTAGAGATTCCAGGCCCCCATATGGAAGAGAAAGTATAGAATTTTAAACATCTGATGTCTAAGACTGTGCTTACTTACTGCTCTTCCCACGCTGTCAGGCAAACACCAAATCAAACAGATGGGCTGTGCACCAGGCCCAAAAGCCAGTTCGCTTGGGAGAAAGGGAAAAAGGCTCATCTCCAAGGCGGGGCCTTTCTGTTCAGAGCTGGTCTCTGGTCCCCCCCCGGCTGACTTGGAGTGGGAGTTCCTGGGACAAGCTCAGGGCTTCAACTCACTTCTGAGACAAGCCTCATCTCCAGAGGGCCTTGGAAGGTTCTCCTGAAGCTTTAAAGAACAGGAAGCACTTGTAATTACATGTGGGGGGGAAGGGATTGGTGTTTTGAGCATGGAGGGGTCTTAGAGAGAAATGAGCTGCTTGAGATCACTGTGTGAATTCCCCCAAGAATATACATAACTCACCCAAAGCCCCACAGCTTCCTAAGACATAGTCCGTGTTCCATCCATCATGAAGTCAGAGCAGAGGTGGGATTTGCAAGGGCTGCTTGATTTCCCCAGACATGTCAGATCCAACATATTTGTTGTGGAAGACTATGTAAGCAGCCATCACTACTGAGCATACTTCCCGAGCCAGGAGCTGGGGCAATTCCTTGTCCACAGTGAAGTTCCCATCATCTGCTTCTTCAGTCTTCCCAGACGTCTCAGTTCTAATCCTTGCTGAAAATGACTGTGGGAAGCCCTCCTCTGCTAGTGGTTTCCCAGTATCTGTGACAATTAATGAATATCCAACTGGAAGGCCAGGAGGGAGACTGCAGAGAGGAACCCAGATCCCACACCAGAGAACTAAGGTGCAACATCTTCATTTGGGGGGGGCAGCTGAGAAATGCTGCTGCAGAGACTTTTCTTTTCATTAATGTTGGAAAAGGAAGCCGTCCCCCTTCCCGCCCTGCTTCTTCCCGCACATGGGATGATGTGGTCAACCCACACGCTCATCAGTAAGAAACTTTATCGCCTCCCACACTCCATCCTAGAGCCCTTCTCCAAAGAGCTGAGTGTGGGAATTGGCTGCAAGTCAAGCCGACGTTATTTTTGCAACCCTCCAGCTAACTCACTTGGAAATGTCATAGTGTTGGGACATGTGCTTTCCCAGCCATGCTGAGGGGTCTGCCCATATGGAGATGTGGGACTGTGCAAGTGCACGTGTGTACTTCTTCACACACGCACTGCACAAACACACAAACACACACACTCAGTCACTGCAAAAGAGCATCCTCTGGGGCCTGGAACTCTTCTCAGACAACCTTCCAGAGGGTTCCAGAGTTAAGCACGTGTTTACTCATCACCTGCACAGTGGTCCCGAATAGCAGCTGTGGTAGGCAGAATATTGGGACCCCGAAGATGGGCTCCTCCTCATCCCCAGAACCTGTGAATGAGTTATGTTAAATGGCAAAGATGAATTAAGGTTGCCAAACAACTGGCTTTAAAATGAGGAGAGTAGGGGTGCCTGGGTGGCTCAGTCGGTGAAGCGTGCGACTCTTGGTTTTGGCTCAGGTCATGATCTCAGGGTTGTGAAATCGAGCCCTGAGTTGGGCTCCCTGCTCAGTGGAGAGTCTGCTTGAGATTCTCTCCCTTTGCCCCCCGCCCTCGCTCACTCTAGCGCTCTCTCGCTCTCTCTCAAATAAATAAATCTTTACAAAAATAAATAAAATGAGGAGAGTATCTTCGATCAACCAGGCAGGCCCAGTGCAATCACAAGGGTACTTAAAAGTGGAAGAAGGAGGCAGAAGAGGAAGCCAGACCCTACCACACGAGATACGAGAAGGACCCCACCAGCCACTGCCAGCTTTGAAACTGGAGGAAGGGGGCACGACCTAAGGAAATGGGGGCAGCCTCCAGAAGCTGGAAAAGGCAAGGAAACAGATCCTCCTTGAGGCTCCGAGAAGGAACATAGCCCTCTGGACCCCTTTGTGTTTAGCCCCGTGAGACTTATGTCAGACTTCTGACCTACAGAACTGTAAGATAATAAATTAGTGCTGTTTCAACCACTAACTTTGTGATCGTTGTCATGGCACCTGTAGAAACAGGAGGAGGAAAAGGGCAGAGAAAGGACAAGCGTCGTTATGCTCCTCTTTGTAGCTCCCCAGCCCCATTGATAGAGGCCACATAGACCTTCCAAAAATGTGTCAGGAGTCTACAGAAGAACTGAAGCTGGAGGAAGCTTGCTGATCTGTTTTCCCTTACAGCCTCCCTTCTACATTCTAGCAACACACTGTTTGGGAGGGATGTAAGTTACCTAGAACTGTGAGCCCAGTGCCTGGAAGCTCTTGGCCAACTGCACACTGACATTCTTCCCCAGATCCTCCCAGGTTTGTGACCCTAGGTGTGTCTCCAGCCCAGGCAGGCTAACAGCCAACCGCTGAGGTTGAATGGCTTACTGCCCTAGCTGGAGCCAGCCAGAGAGTTGACTTTTCCTATGCCTTCCAAGGTTTTTCTTACGGTTGTCTGTTTCCTCGCTTGCTTGGCTTTTGATGGAAACACAGACTAACTGGTTTCAGCAGCATTTCTTACCCTTCCATTCCCCGGCTTTGTTCTGCCTGTTGGGCAGCTGAGGAGACTTCACACACCTACTTGATTTCATAGCCCCCGCCAGCCCTGGCCACAGACCCTCACTCCCCGTTTCAAGATATGTAGCTTTTATGGGTCTGCAAGGAGCACAGGCTCCCAAGCTAAATCAAATTTTAATTGCCATCCAAGATTGCCATCCACAGGCATTCCTTCTACCCCAGATCTCTCTAGAAGCCAGTTCTAACCACAGAGAAATATGTAAAATTTGGCGAGGGGCGTTGGACAGTTTTCCAGACTCAATCTAGTCCTCTCTCCTTCCCTTGGTCTGAACCACTGCCTCTCTCTCTTTTTCTCTCTCTCTCGAACCCAATTTGGCAGGGTAGCACAGCTCCCATTTTGTTCCTGCCACGTGGATTGCCCACTCTTTCCAGACTCCCTTTTGTGGCTCCATGAAAGCACCTTCCTTCAAGACATACTTTGGCATATTCCCCTCTGTCTGCCCACCCAGAGTCATGCGGGGCTATTTGACTCTGGGCCTGCCTCTTGCCTGATGTCTCCACAGTGGGGGAGGCCAGGCAGTTAGACATTACCCAAGTCCAGATGTCTTCCAGAGATTTCCCTTTTCAGAGGGAGTACATCACCCAGTTCCATTTAATAAAAGCCAACGGAGACCTGAAGGATAGGTGACTCGGGGCTTTTGGCGCGGTCAAGTCCAGCCCAGTCGTGTCTGAGGAGTCCTAGCTCCAAGGTCTTGCGTTAATCCTTTGATGAGCTTTGCCCCTCAGTCCTTGACCTGTAGAATGGGAAATGAGGGAAGGCACAGGCACCATACAAACCACTTCACGGCATCCAACCTCAGGGTACCAAGCACAAATCCAGGGTCGCCATTTCCTGGCCCTCCCTGTAGTGCGGTCACCGGTGCGTGCCTCCTGCAGGGCACACTCCCTCCCAGTCGGGCACTTCTCCGTGGCCGTGACACGTCTCTCCATTGGATTCCTGCGAACACCGCCGCCGAGTCGGCGCGTCATGTGTTCCCCACCATCTGTCACAGCAGATGCAGAGACTGTAACACTTCTAGCTTAGGAGGGCATCCAACACCCTTGTGGGGTCTTTAAAATTCACAGCTAACAGTCGGAGCTCGTGCTTGCACGAAACCCCTCTTAAAGTCAAGATTTAGCATTTGGTTGCCATAGCAACTTTCCTCATCAAGTCTGAACTCCTTTCGGTGTAGATGGCCAAACTGGTTTTGAGGAGGAAGGCAGAAGGGGGACGTTTGGTGGGTTCCGGAAATGAGGATCATTTGAGAGGCAGATTTTGGATCTCCTCAAACTCGAGCCCGATATGTTTGAAAATGTCTCTGTTGCTCTGACTTTGGGCTGCACATGACATTATATGGAGGAAAGCTTTCTCTCTTGTCGGCGGTGTCCCCACATAGTCATGAGTGATGAAACATCATAAGGAGATAATGACTGAAGGCAATTTGAGAAAGGTAAATGCACTCTACAAGTGGTACATATTGCCATCATTAGGAAAATTGGGCTCTGCTTGAACTCTGAGTTGTTGGTACATTTATTTTTACGTGTTTTGTGGTAACTAGATATCAAATGTGGAAGGACTCCCTTTTTTGTCAGTCCTTATTTCTAGGGCAAGGCCTCGCGTCAAGACCCCTCTGAGACTCGGAGTGATGGGTCCAACAACCTCTTGAGGTTACTTCCTGGTTTTTAATGTCACACAAGGACAGTCGGGAGACAGACAGACAGACATCTGAAGGGAGAAGCATGTCTGTGCCCTAGACCCATTAATTGCCTTTGATCTCGCTATCTTGAGAATGGTGGTAGTGGTGTTATCTATAAATGTAGGGTAAAATTTTTAAGTTAATTAATTAATTTTCCATTATACACTATGTACAAAATCACTACTCATGCAGAAAAACAAACCTTGTTCCTGCCCTTGTGTAGCTTATAGTCTTGAACCCCTGCTTTCCTTGAGATTGGTAAGATAGGGGGCCCGGCTCCTTGGTGATTTTCTTCTTTTATGACCCTCTGGTACTTGGCTTCTTATCTTTCCTTTTCCCAGAGAAACATTCTTCATCTGAAAGCTTTATTATCATCTTCCTAATTTCAAGCTTTGTTTTCCTATGTTCCACCCCTACCTCCCTGACTATTCCTAGATACAGCTCAGCACCCCTGAAGCCCGTGAATTTGAGCCTATTGTGAATCTAACTCATGTGAAGCCTGAGTGTCCTATACAGGAAAGAGAGTACTGACCTCATACTCTGAGTAGAGCCCCCACAAACTAAGAAGTTGCTAATTTTCACTTCACTCCTCAGCACCTGGAGCTAAGCAGGTGTGGGGGAAAGAAAATGAGCGTTATCTGGTAGTGGGGCCCTGATGGGGAGTAGCTTACAGGTCCATCTTGAAAGGAATGGTTAAGCTTAGATCTTAACAAAAAACTCATTGCTTTAGAACCTACCCAACCCCTTCCCTCATACCTGTGGGGCCCCTTTGCTTCATTTTTATTGGTTTTTGTCTTTGAAAAGAGAAAATAGTACTCAAAGCTATTATTCTATGTGTATCCTTTTTTAAGTGTCTCTTGCTAGAAGGATGAAGAAACTGTATGCCCCTTGTCTCCTTAGGGTAAGCCACTTTTGTTACTTACCAATTATAGGAAGTCACACCCTGTTCTTTTACCACCTACGAATTAACCAGCCAGTGAAAGAGTTAACACTCGTGCTGAAGTGGGACTGGTCTCAGCAGTTTAGGGATACATAACATTATGTAACGAATTATTAATATAAGGGAACAGGAGCAATTTTTTTCAAGATCAGTGCTAAGTCGGCCAATGATTCTTCATCTCTGGGGGTCTTGAGTTTGCTCGTAAATCAGAATAATGTTATGGAACCCTGCCATGGGAAGATGCACATACACACATACACACATACACTGTTTTGCATACAATTCCAGAGGGGTTGTGAACTCCTTGGTATATTAATGGAGTAACTAGTGGTAATGAAGCATAGTAATATCCAAAACAAATAGAGAATTGTGGATGGTTCTTCTGTTTAACAGCTCCAAAATCATTAGCCATTTTCACTTGAAAACAAAAACCCAGAGTTCCTATAAAACCGTAACAGGTATAAGTGGCCTCCTCTAACCATGGAGTTGTTCCGTGAGCTAACAGCACGGCATGGTGGGAATAAAGGTCCAGAGCCAGAGAATCATAGATTCAAATGTTGACTGTCCTTAAGCTGTCTCCAGATCCCTTCATTTTTCTGAGCCTCAGTTTCCCCTATTGGCATAGCACAGCTAATAACACCTACTTTTCAAGTTTCTTAGAAATATTTGATGAACTAAGTCACTTAGGTGCTCTTTAAACACTCATTGATCACCTAACGTGTGCCTGGCAGGAGACTGGGCACTGAGCAAATCAGGATGAAAAAGTTCTTTTGCTCAGAGTTCTTGGTCTTTGTTTTTACAGAGCACATAGAGTAGGTTCTTTGTAAATGTTGGGTTCCTCCACTAGTGAAAATCAGCACGTAGTAGAAAATGGAGAGATTGAGGGTGTGTTCATTCACGTGGGTGGTAGAGACGGGGATGTGTGACATGATGGGATTTATTTTTTCATCCACACCACTATTAGAGTCGGAGTTTAATCTGATCATTTCATATTCATTTTCTCAAACAGACATGTTAATCAATTGCTTCATGTTTCTTCTTCCTACGCTGCTTCTAAGGGGAATGTCTCTGCTACGAAGGTTACATGAAGGATCCAGTACACAAGCACCTTTGCATTCGGAATGAATGGGGCACAAACCAGGGGTAAGTGCAGGGGATGGCAAGTGAGCCAGTTCCCTGATGTCACCCTTCTTTGGAGCCATAGCGTGCAGGGGAAGGGAGCTAAAGGGTAGTTATATTCTGAATCGCGAATGGGTAAAAATGTCACCATGCATTTCCATATTTATACCATTCCAGTGACGTCCGTGTCATCTTTTTCTCCATTTACGAGTTCAGAGATGATGCCTCTGACTCGCAGCCCCACAGCCTCCAGCTGGGATCTGAAAATCAAGCTGTCCCTGTCTTCTTTTTCATTCCACCGCCAGCCACCAGGATTCCACAGGCAGAACTTAGCTGATGATTTTGTTGGAGATGCACATAGCCACACAGACTCCTGTGTGGCTCTCGCAGAGCTCGAGGAGCTTTGAGAGATGGACATGAGGAGAAACGTGTTTTCCCCATCACTGTCAGCCAGGATGACGTGCGGGTGATGTAAGGGTACTTCTGCCAGATCCCCAGTCACCCTTTCTTTCTGAGACCTTTGCTTTCCCCCAAGCACACATGAGTGGGAGAAGAGTTCCCTTGTCTTGTTTTTTTCTTTTTTTTTTTTACATTAAAAAAATTGATAAAATCTACATCCCATAAAATTGACCATTTTAATCATTTTGAAGTGTACGATTCAGTGGCATGAAGATCATTCACATTGCTGCACTGCCATCAGCACTGTGTGTCTTCCTTCGCTTTTTAGAGGCAACTTTCTACTCCGTTTTGGGTGCTGAGAGCCTGCTTTCTGCATTGACTCACTCGTGGAGCAGGGTGGGAAGAGAAAGGGATCAATAAACACTAACTAATAATAGCAGTCAATGGAACAGGGAACACTAGAAAGAAATCAAGGCACAAGCCATCTGAGAGTGATTGCTTATGTGCAGCTTGGAAGTGTGTTTGCAGCCTGACAAGGTGGAAAAAAGGCACCACCATCATTTCATACATTGCCATGGAGGACTCCTATCCCCGAGGTCGATGATCAGCCCCCTCTGTAGGATCCTGATGAGACCGAGCCTAGAATAAGGAGTGTAGTTCTGGACTCTCAAAGCAATAAATATGGAGACAAATGGGTGAGAGTTTGGAGAAGAGCAATAAAAATGATCGAAGGGCCCAAGGGAGTGATTTATGATGAAGGATAGAAGGACTCAACTCGGAGAACTGGCCAGCTGATGACTAAGTCAAGGCATGATAGATTCCCTTCGACGTTAGAAGAGGGCAAATGTTCTGGAACTGGTTAAGGTTGAGGAATAAGGACAAGAGAGAATGAAGTTAGGGGAAGGAAATCTGAGTCACAGGTCAGAAAACCTGAGGGAAGTCAAAATGCCATGGAATTCTTCTGTTGGTGAAAGTGAAGGATTGCTCTGTTTCTGTTGAACTTGAGATCGTATCAGAGAGGCTGTCCCCTGGAGTTGGAGGAAGGTGTTTGTAGAGGGTATAAATACACATGAGGTTGTGTGTTGTTGAAAGATGAGTGGGGAGGGCTGAGGACTTAGCTAATAGATGTCAGGTGGGGTATGAATACAGAGGGCCATTCACTGTTTAGAGTCACCTTAGTCCCTTCACTCTCTGACCCCTGAAACGTTTGCATCGCGGATGGGGAGCCAGGATTTTAGCCTACGTGATGGGATGGCCAAGTATCTCAGTTGGCTATGATTCTTACTGAGTAAAATGTTGTAAAGGGTGATGGATAACCAGCTCTCTATCTCTTAGCCTGCAAACTTGCTGCTGAAGAAAACGACAAAATATCATTTCGCTTTCTGCCCTGAATGATCCAGGCTGGCCCTCTGCAGTGATTGGATTTGGTGGCTAATCGCTCAAGCCTCCACATCCCTCGCCTTGCAGACAGATCATGCGAGGACGGGCCTGGCTTCACTTGGTAATTGTACAAGGGTTCGTCATCCCCTCTGGCTGCGTTGTAGAGGCAGTCTTAGGATGTAGACAAGAGCCTCCAGGGACTTGGTGGGGGCCCCACGTTGGTGTCATTTAAAATAAGACAGGCTAAAGCACTGAGTTGCAGACTGACAGGAACATTAGCCCCAGGAAACAGACAAGGAGACCTAATCTGTCATTTCCATCTCTAATTTCCATTATTCTCTGATCATCACTGTCTGCGAGGTCTCGTTTTGGACACTAATAAAATAATGGAGCAACTGTTAGGAGGGAAAAAAAGTGACTATCTTGGGGATAATGGAACCAGGAGTGATAAGCAGCATGGGTTTATATGTATATAAAAAAATGCCAGACAAAAGATGGCATTTTCCTCATAAAATGACAAGATAAATGAAAAGTGGAGGATGCCATACATCTTGATTTAAATCAGGGGTCTGATGCCACGTTTCTCTAAATGATTCTTACAAAATTAATCGAAATTGATTTGAACGTGAAGTCTGTCACTTGAGTTGAAACCAGCCTGACAGATTGCCAACTAATGATACGGATTGGGGTATTATGGAAAAATCGATGGCGGGCCTGATTTTCCTGAATATTTAATGTTCCAGAAGGTGAAGGTAAGCAGCATGTGTGGGTTTTTATATTTTTCATCTAATATCCTTGTATTGCATACATAAAAATAGCTGAACGTTCTTTTGAAGTAGAACAAGCAAATCCCAGGCCAGTGATATTTAAAATGAATTCCCTTGTGAAAAATCTAGGTTAATGTATGAGGAGAAAAGTAGCAATAAGCATTCATGACTTTCAGACAAGGAAGAAAATTGATTAAGGACATTAATACAAAAAATTACACCTGCAACTTTACCCAGCCTCTGCCTGGTGCTCCAGTTTACTGAGACCCTTGTGCGCGCGCATGCACTTTGTGCACATGTGCGTGCTGCTTATGTGTACGTGGTGTACGCATGCGTGGTGTGTGCATATGTGTGTGAGTGAGCTGGTTTATTCGTATGAATCCTCTCAGCCCTGCACACCATCATTTGTGCTCTCACTCATTCATGTTTTCAATACTCAACTTGATTACCTATTGTACCAGGATAAGCTAGATTGCTAATTATAAGAAGATGTGGTCTCTGCTCTGGAAGAACTAATAGTCTAGATAGATAATGGGCACATAACAAAAAAATGACAATGAATTCTAAAACCTATTAAAAGAAAGGTGCGAGCAAATGTCTATGTGATTACAGTTTAAGGTGACTTAGGTGACGTCTAAGAACCTAGAATGGGACGTTGTAGAGAAGTTAGATTTTGAACTGTTCTATTTAACGGCTGACAAAGGTAATTCTAAACAAAGGGAACAGCATATGCCAAGGCCTGGAGACATAAGAAGCATGACTTCTCCGGGACTAGCAAATAAGTAGCCCAGTGTAGCTTAAGAGTGCAGTTTATAGAGACAGGAGAAGAGGCTGATAAAGTGGGTAAAGACTAGCTTTTGAGGAGTTCTTGCTTTCTAAGGCTTTGGACACTAAACTTCCATGTAGGTGCCCCTAAAATTGTTAGCAAGAGGAAGAAGTCCCAAGGTGTCTGTATATTTGGTGGGATAGTCCCTCTATACATTATCATTCTGGGTCCTTCAAAATAAAATAGGGCATCTGGGTGGCTCAGTCGGTTAAACATCTGTCTTCAGCTCAGGTCATGATCCCAGGGTCCTGGGATGGAGTCCCGCATCAGGCTCCCTACTCGGTGGGGAGTCTGCTTCTCCCTCTGCCCCGCCCCCCACTTGTGATCTTTTCTCTCTCTCACTCTCTCTCTCTCAAATAAATAAAATCTTTAAAAAAAATTAAATAAAATAACCCTAAAAAGCAAGCAAAAAAAACAAAACAAACCCACTGAAAACCTCTAAATTTGTATTTATCTGGATTCTGTAAGTAAAACATAGTCTTAAAAATTATTCTGTAGATGAAAGTTTTCTAGACCAAACAGCAAAGAATGACAGAATCGGGGACCATATGTGTAAGGCATGTGAGTTAAGGGGGTTGCAACCATTTTTTTGGTGACTCTGGTTCTGCCAAAAATGCCCATGTTGAGAAAAGTGTGAGTGGATCTGGGAGGTGAAGCCAGTGTAGTGCACCCAGGTGACAGAAGCAGGTCACCAGTTGTAAAATTATTGAACTTATTACTCAAAAAGCTCCTATCCACTAAGTAAAAAATAGCTTCAAAAAGATTTAAACAAAGTCATGGATGACAGATTTCTAATGAGTTATTAAAAGAGCACAGAATGTTTGAGATTATATTTTTGGTCTTCGAGGTTGGCAACAAAATCAATCATTTCCTGCCACAGCATCCCTGGTGACACAGTTGTCCCACAGAGGACCTAGGATATAAAAGGGCCCTACCCCAGCATAGGGCTTTACCAGGTCTTCTGTCTAATCTGCCATGAATTCACTAGAAACTCGCAGCCTCCTATCCTGTGGCTTTACACAGACAGGGACTATTAGAGTACATACCTAGTATTCGTTCGACAACAAGTACAAATTGAAAATTGTAACAAGAAATGAAACCAATAAATGAGGGTGGAGGAAGCAAGAGAGATTGATTTACATGTACATATTAGAGGAGAAAAAAACAAATTTATTTAACTACTTTGGAGATTATTAAGAAAGGCTATCAGAAGTTTTTTGTTGTTAAATTAAAAGTGTGCCCCAAGGGCTTCTAGCTACATTATTCAGAACACCACATTACATAAAATTCATGCATTTGAAGATTCCCTCTAAATAGTAGTCTGATTTCTTATTCTGGCATCTCAGGTACAGAGGGCAACACCAAGGAGATTTCCCACTGAAGGACTCTCACCTATCACTAGGTTTCGGTGAAGAGTGGTGATCAAGTGATAATTCATGAGACGGGAAGAGTTGGCTGTGGGAAATGAACAGGTGTTTCTCTGCGGCTTTAAGAAGCTGTTGTTAGGAATCAGAACCTTCTTTCACTGCCTACTCAGGAAACAACACGTTTACCATGGTAGCCCCGATAAGAACACATGTGCGCATGCGCGGGTATGCGCATGTGCGCTCTTTCGCTCTCACACAGCCTACGCCGCCTTAATCTGTCCGTTC